GTGTGTGTGTGTGTATATATATACACACACACACACGCTGGAGATCTAGAGACGCCAGATAGTTGCATATATATATGTTTGTGCATGTGTGAATCTGCTCTGTGCCACCCAGGCATACAGACCCAGGTATTACCCTGCTGTGTACCCTGTGCTGCCTTGGATAGGGTCCAGTCTCCCCAGTGATCCTGAGCAAGGTAAGCAGTTGGGAGATGGATGGATGGATGGATGCTAGCAGGTGACATGGTGAGGTGAACTTAACATTCAAATTTCAAGTGGCAAGTCTGGATGAGTCTTCTGACTGTACCCAGACAACGAATCCTCACATCCTGCAGGCCATGAACGGAAAATGTCCTGAACAGCAGTGGTCTGACTTTCATGTACAGTAAAGCCTGAGTTATATTTCTGCCTTGAGCCTATTTTCCATGACCTACGCAAGTGGCCAACACTGTCGCAAGCGATGTGCGTTGGTGTGTTTGTCTCGCTCAGTAATTACACCAGCAAAGCACTAAGTGATACAGAGTTCTGGATGTTGCATTTGTTGTCTTCCCACTCTGAGATACATTCAGTTGTTGAATCACACAATTGGAACAGAAAAAAAAACCAAACATTTAACTAAGTATCCATTTATCTAGTCCTGGTTACATTTGTGCTGCTCCAAACTTCCAGTAAACAGATTTGGAAAATGTCGAGCCGCTACACTTTTTATGCATTTTCTAAATCTACTTTTACTTTTGTCATCTTGAAAAGTATGAATAAACTTAAAGGAGGTCAGTAAAATTGGCACCGTCACCCAGAGTGTTCTGTTGACCTGTAGCTGCTACGTCCAGGATGGGTTATTTAATGCTAGTTATAAATAGCGCTTCAGTTTCCATCAGTGATACAAGCAAACCTGGGATGTACGATTTCTTCACTCTCATAAAACAAAGGAATGCTACCAAACAGACCAATAACATTCTCGCAGTCTGCGTCACAGCGATGTGTAGTTACATTTCTGGGCGTAGGGTCTATGGCTGTACTGCAGCTACAGCGTCAATTCAGCCTCCTGGCTAAGAACGTCTAACTTACGGACAACCTGTACTTACAGACAGACTGCCATAAATCCAATATTGTATTACGAATCTGAGTTAAATACAATGGTTCATAATGACGGACGCAGGCACTATGCTCATAAAAACATTGCGTGGCTCAGCGGTTCGTCATCCAGTTATTAATATCATAATGTTACCTCACCAATGCCCCCTCCGGTATGGAAGACATTAATGGAACGAGAGAAAGGTGTTAACCTTTAATCAGAATCTTTTTTTCTTTTTTCACCTTTATCTAAAGTGCTTTTAGAACTGTTTCTTTAAGGGTTTTTACAATACTGTATACCTGCACACACACGGCCCCTCTCTCTCTCTCTCTCTCTCTCTCGCAGTACCATATTATCATCATCATCATCATTATGTACCGTATTATTACGTTTAACATGTTTAGTGTATTTGGAGATGTTTGTATGCATAGGAAAATAAAATATATAACTAGACAAACATTTAACTAACTGACACTAAATAAGAACCTATGTACCTGTTCTGACTTTCCTACAACTTCGACATAAAGACAGACTTAGGAATCTCCCACATAACCTGGGGTCTGTCTGTATTACTGCTAAGATGTCAGATCAAGTCGGACACTGAGGGTACAGGTTTGAAGCAACAGCACCTGCTGACGATGATGTTCCATATGGACTAGTTAGTAAGGTCCCCGGCCCGACACTGCGGTATACTCACTGCCGCCCCCCAGTGGCCGGTTCCAGCACATAGCGGTCAAAGTACAGCCGCACCAGCCGTTCCCGCTCTTCCGGGCCTGGCAGAGCGAAGTTGACGATCTCATCAATGCGGTCGTTGATGGCCCAGTCGAACTGTTCCGGCTGGTTACTGGCCAACACCAGCATGAACCTGTGGGGGTAGAGCCCAGGCATGGACGACAAGGTGAGCCGGATACTAAGGCTGAATAGGAAAGAACGGCAGCCGGGGGAGGACTGACTTGTTGCTCTGCTCGCCCGTGCGATAGAGGAACGCGTTCAAAGTGGCTCGGAGGTCTTCGCTGATCTTCTCCTGCAACAGGACAAGAGAAATAAAGTGTCAGCACTTGAGTGATAAAAAGCACTACATGATTTATCCTCCACGCAGACACAATCCAAGGTGATTTGCGAGGCCTCCGCTGAGGCTCGTGAAATACAAAGCAGGGTGGAGGAGCGTTTGTGGAGCCCCAGCCTAACGCCACACACGGCCCCCTGAAGCATCACACATGCACGCCCTGCAGTGCCCCTGCCCACACACACCCACTTACAGTGGCTCGCTTGCGAAGGAAGGCATCTGCCTCGTCAACGAAGAGCAGGAGGCTGCAGGGGAGAAGATACCATCAGACTCAGAGCGATGGGGGGGGGTGGGGGTGGCCGAAACGAATTCCTCCCCGCATCCGCCCACCCGAGACAGCAGCATACCCGCGTCGGTTGGTGTTGGCCCAGTCAAAGACCTTGTGCATGGCGGTCACGCCATCGCGCCCCATAGGGGCGACATCTCCCCCCGTCATGATGGCGTAATCCATCCCAGAATGCATAGCCAGCTTCTGCTCAGGACACATGAGCCAGTTACAAATAAACACTAAAACACGCACATGACGGCACACAAACAGAATTAATCATTATAATTATAATTCCGAGAGACATATTAGCACCACAGATTTCGTATAACTGGCTTTATATTACCAAGACAACTGTCTCTAGTTGTAAAACAGATTCACAATCCGGCAATTCAAGGAAGCCGTCCAAGTGTTCTGTATCTGTATTACTGAACACACTAGTATCAACTGATCAGCTACATCGAGTTGGATAATTAACATAAATCTGACATTAAAATTGTGCCTTTCTGTAGGATACTGGACTTGTATTAATTATTGTACTAATTATCAATCTGAATATTTTTATTCCAGCTGTGATGGCCATTGTCACCATCTTGTGGTTCACCACAGAACTGCATCACTGGCTTACTGGGCCCTGAACGCAGGTGACTGCAGTAATGAGAGTGAAACTGACTGGAGCCTCACTGAGGAAACCCACCTTTGCAAAAAGCGTTTTTCCAGTTCCAGGCGGGCCGTACATCAGGATGTTCCGGTAAAGGCCCCGGTTCTGCCGTGTGTTACGGGTCGCTATGGCGATGTCACGCACACGCTCCTCCAGGTTTGGCTGTTAAGGACGGGTACAGGGATTGTTAGCAGAGGTGCAGCATGCTGCATGATTTGCGATTACTGTCACGGTTGGTGTGACATGTGGTGGTGGGTGGAGATTGTGGGTGTGGTCTGCAGTGCTGTGGGCGGGGCTTTAATCACTCACACTGAGAACCACCCCCTCCAGGGCATCCTGGGGCTTACTGGTCAGCCGCCTTGTCATCTGAGTTGGGGGGAGGAGGAGGGCAGGAAAAGAAGAATGAGCTTGCATTGGGGTAACAGAATCAGACACAACTGGACTTCTGCCCCCCTACCACGGACCTTGACAGGATGCCGGATGGCCTCCCCCACAGTGAAGCGAGACGTCTCCCGCACCAGTGCCGGCTTGCCCAGGCGGGCCTCCACATAGCGCCCAGCCACTGAGGTAGCATTTCGGGCTGAGTAGATCCCCACAGCCAGGAGGGTCAGCCCCGCCACCTGGCAGCGAAAAAAGGGGGGTGGGTGAGGACAGAAAAGGTGGGACGGGGGGACAGCGGGCACCGGGACAGCGGGCACCAGAAGAGCGTCACTCACCGTGGCTGTGACTTTGTCCCAGTCCGAGATGAAGGCGTGGAAACCCTCCCCAAACACAGCACCCGCCGTCCTGACACAGGGTACAAACACAGTCAGCTCCTCCCCCCACCATCAGCTCCTCCCCCCACCATCAGCTCCTCCCACTGCCACCCTGCAATTCTGCATCCACTAAAAACACTCCATGTTTTTCTACAGTAACATGCACGGTACCCAAAGTAACATATATTACCTACAGTAACACCCAGAGTACTTAAAGTGATGCCCACAGTACCGACACTAACACCCATATTACTCACAGTAACACCCACAAGTACCCATTGTAACACTTATAGTACCAATAGTAACACATACAGTACCCATAGTAATGGCCAGAGTGCCCACGATAACACCCATTATACCCGCAGTAATGCACAAAGTAAACACACACAGTAAACAGTGCAACACCCATGGTACCCACGGCAACACCCATGGTACCCACGGCAACACCCATGGTACCCACGGCAACACCCATGGTACCCACGGTAACCTGGAAAACAATCACAGACTGGTCGTACCGTATGGTTTCCAGCACAGTCTGCCGGTGCTCAGCAGCCTTCAGGCGGATCTGCTCGCGGATGATGTCGGCATTCTCACGCTCCACGCGACCTCGTGCCTTGGCCTCCGCCTCCACGCGCAGCATCTCGTTCTTGTGACGTAGCTCCATCTCGTGCTCGACGGTGGCTGATGGTGGTGGGGGGGGGGGGGGAGAGTTAGGAGGCAGCTGCAGAGGGGGGCTGGTGGGGGTCAGGGTTTCGGAAAGGGGCTTCACCGCGTCTCATTGCCTCCTGCTTCTGCACGGACTCCTCCTGCTTGCGCAGATTCTCTTCATTAAGAATTTGCTGCAGGAAAAGAAAAACGGAGGGGGGAGGGGGTCAGGTTTGAGACTCACACGCTGGTGGTTATCGCTGCACTGTCCTCTCACGGAGCGCTGAGCGAGGCAAACTGAAGGAAGAGGCACGGCATCAAACGGCCGATACGGTCACAGCGGCGACGTCCGGAGGCTGATCTCACCTGCTGCCTCAGTTGGTCATCGTACCTCTGCCTGGCCAACTTATCCTGGTACTGTGCCCTCTGCAAAGGTCGAAGGGAAGCAGAATGAGCACAGTGATGCTGTTACATGCCGTCAGTCAGGCACGATCTCTGCAGAGAATATGGCTACCCGGCCCACCGAAGGCGGACACAGCCCCCCCCCCCACCCCCACCCCCGCTCCTCACCGCCTGGTGCTGCTTCGTCTCCTCCACCAACGTTTTCCTCCTCTCCTCCGCCTGGACGCGAATCTGATCCCCCTTTATCTGCTCCAACGCTGCCTCATATTCCTGGGAGTTAAAAACAAAACAAAAACAAGTTAATGACCTGAAGATAAAACGAAAGTAGACATCAGGAAACCAGGCATGAAATGATTAAGAAACAAACATGACAGCAGACATTAAGAAAGTCTAAATAGCTCTGTATATCACTGGTGATCCCCCCCCCACTTTTTACCCCTCTCCAAGTAATCTTAGGCCAGGTTTAATCAATCATTAGCTCACAAAACAACTCACTAAAATACAAAGATGGGCACAGATGACAGGGCTTAAAAACCAAACATGGAAGACAACAGAAAGGGGGCGTGGCGGCCGGCACCGCCGTTGCTATGGAAACAGAGCGTGCCGGTACGACCTTCATCTTGGTCTGATGCTCCAGCTGCAGCGTCTGCTCCTGCATGCGCGCCAGCTCCAGCGCATCCTTAGAATGGCCTGCGTGGGGTGGATTACAGTGATTAACCTTTCCTCGTATAAATTCAATGCATCTCCGCAATCTAATCATTGCCAAAATCGATTCTTTGTCTTCAGAAAAAAAAACAATCGCAAGGCAAATCACAGTATACTTGCACACGTGTTTACTGCTGCACGTAAACTTACCACTGTATTTATGCAAAATCCTTTCAACTACGCAAAAGCATATTTCTGCACCTACGATTTCACGATGAGTTTCTCTTTTATGAAGTCTTCAGGAGTGCGAGTCTACTTTCTTAACACCAAAATAGTCCTTGTTCATAAAATACTGCATTTAATATTTACTTAAAATATACAATCTAAACGCAAAGTTAAAAATCAAATGTAAATATCAATTAGCCAAATGACATGCGTAAGAGCCTCTTAAAAAATAAACCTGTGTGCCAGTGACCTTTGAACCTTTAACCTTGGTTAACTATGGACATTCTGAATGCATGGCTTGCTAGTCTTCTTTGCTACATTCAGTGTCACACATAGAGCATCTAGACAAAACAGGCATCACATACCGACACCGTATCTCTTATCTGAGATATATACGTACGAGGAGAGAAGATGATAGTAGTGTAAATCCCTTCAGCTCCATTCACACGTCTGCACCATTCATTCAATCGCGGTTCACGCAGCTGTATAGGTACCTATGATGTTTGGTCATGCATCGTTATAAAACCCGTACTGCTAAACTCAGATTGTTTTCTTCACAGAATAACATACGTGATTTATCAAGCTCCTTGGCCGCCTGGGCCGCTCGCTCCAGCCCGGTTGGGTCGAAATTACTCCATTTGTCCTTGGGTTTATCCCCACCAGAAGCCCCGGCCGGCGGAGGAGGCGGTGGTATAGGGAGATCCGGGGGCGCGCCAGACTGCCCCTTGTTCAAGCCAAACAGCCAAGACATTCTGCGGCAAGTCAGATATTGTTGGCTTGATTCTGGGACGGTGTTAAAGTCTTCAGGACTTCTATACCTTAAATTCACTGACACACCGTTACCTCGTGTCACGTTCTAATGTATGCGCAGACTCACTGAAGACCAGAAAACGTGATTAAAACTGCGCATAATGATTGGTCAGAAACCGGGCGTGCTCTTTTCTATTGGCTAATCCCAGAAAGGCATAAGGGTTTAGCCACTCCTACGGAAGTAGAACGGTGGCCGCGAGGGGATAAAATATGTTCTAGCTATTGCTGCAGTTGATGCAAGGGAAATTGTGTTGTAAAAAAGCGACACATTTCTAGTAACTGGTAAATTAACTTTTATGCATGTATGAGATGGTGGATGGGGTATTTATTTACGGAATATATACAGGGGAAAAAAAAGTATATTTCCTAACGTGATTCATGATCTGATGATGTGTGAAATTTTGAATAAGAGAATGTTTCTTTTGGCATTCTGCATGCAAGTCAAACCAGTATTTCATAAGACACAAGTACCAGACATGGAAAAACACAATGACAGATAACAAAAAAAGCTTTATTAAATTTCTCTAAACACTTCCTGTTTTCCAGACAGGAAAGCAGATTAATTTACATTTACATAAAATACATAAAGTACAAGTCAAAATGAACTACTGGGCAGGACAACCAGTGCCTCCTGAAGTCTTACCTCCCCCCAAACATTTTTATTAATGGAAAGATCAATGACTCGGTAACATGTGAATATGTGATTATGACATGGAGAGTTCTGATCGACTTCCACTGTAGCTGTGCTTAACCATCCAGGGCAGTGCACAAAATGGATAAACAGTATAGCTACAAAAATGAGAGCAGAATTCACAGGGGCCAGTAGACAAAGAGCCAGATGCACACTGCGATTCCTCAGTGTGAATGAACAATGCGGGAGAAGATGCCCGGGGGCTCTTTGCCATCGCCGAGCGCGGCACGGAATCCCTCCTCCCGGCGCGCCTTAGCCAGAGCCACAAGCGACTGGAATGTCCGTGGCTCGGTTACAGCCAGATCACACAGCATCCGCCTGTTCACCTGAACGTTGGTCTGAATTGGGACAACAGTAGGAGAATCAAATACCCAAAGCAACAAGAGAGACTGAAAATCACAGTCTACAAACCTAAAGCAACAGAGTATCACTGGTTATTTTAGTATGTTTACTTAAATTATGCTTAAGTAATACTTTAAACCAATAAGTTTCAGTTATTGCTGTAATTACGAGACAAGATGTGTGAACATAAGATTCATCTGAAATCCCAAAAAGCATACAAATGCTGTACCACTGATACAATCATAAGTTAGAAGAATTGGCACCTTTCTAGATGAAGGTCTGCACCCCATCATTAAATGTGCTCACTTATATAACTGAAAAAGCATGTATTATAGATGCGTGTATATAGTCTATAGAGTGTATAGAGTGCAGTCAAAACATTGCTCTCATTTTAAATCAGTCTTTTGTGCATATTTACTGAGCGTCAGAGAAGTGTAGATAAACACAACTTTACAAACCGGAATTGTGCATTTTCAGTTACAAAGCAACTTCCCTTTACTTTTCATTTAAATATTGATTTCACAGAAGTATGAGGAATATAAATCCAAGTTAATACAAGACAGGCAGAGTTTATTCACACCATACAGTTTTGCTCACCTTTACCAGATTGCTAATCAGAACTGGATATTTCATCCCATGTTCCCGGGTACCAGCAGCAATACGGGAAATCCACAGCTATAAAAAGCACAGTTGATTAATGTAACAGTGAACTATTAAGTGAAGCTGCACGTGGTGCAGCTATATAAACTGCCATACATGGTACTGGTTCGTTACAACTGTAGGCTATGTAGTGAATATAGAAATTGAAAAATATCCTTACCCTTCTCATAAGACGCCGTTTTTTCGGGCGGGCCTTGGTTGCATAAACGAATGCCCTCCGTACAGCCCTCACGGCCAGTGTGAAACAACGGTTCTTCCTACCTCGAAAGTGCTGCAATCAAGCGACACATCGACACTCAAATTAGGGAGCAACAACAGATTAAAAAAAAACACAGATAAAAACATATCACAATAGTTTTAGATAGAAGGATCCCTTATATAAATATGGAATTACACAGAGTGGATTATTAAAGCAATATGCTGTTATTACAGAACAACTTAAATTTTTATTCAAGGTCCGCAACTAACTAAGATTACACTATAAGTAAAACTTCCACATCAACGATTTGATTTTCCTCACTTATTTTTGCAACTCATTAGAATTACTAGCCAACTGTCAATAGCCAATAACTCTTGCTTTAAACATCCACACCCTGGTAGTGAAAACTAACCCGTGCATGCTTCAGCACTTCTTGTACCCTCCACCAGCGATCTGGACCACGGCTACGAATCCAGCAGGCTATAGTCAGGAACACCATCTTTCCTTATATTTAGTGTTTTAATCGCTTTTTCAAAGTTTGCACCTGCTATAATTTATAATGACCTCTACGTATCGCCTAACGGGAGCGTGCCATAAGCGAGGGTGTCTCCGTCGCACAGTGATGATGTCAAATCGATGCACCGCTGTGCATTGTGGGGTGGCGGATAGCTAGAGAGTTAGCCGCTGCTGTAGCTCTGAAGACCCGGTGGTCGGTCACAATGTCTGTCGCCTGTTTCTCCTTGAGTCGATGTGGAGCCGTAGTATCGCGGGCATCCGTTGGGATGGTGGTAAGAATGGAAAGGGTGAAATCGGGAGGGAATAATTGCTTTTAAGCCTCAAGGGTGGCGTTGCTGGATAGGGAAGGTCACCAGGTGACAGCCAGCTTGCCCCTCTTCAGTCTCTGAACTGGCGTTAATTTACGTTAGTTCTGTATTTCAGGTGTCAGTAACGTTATATGCCTTTAAAGCGGTCCGATGTTTTGAATAGTAGGAAACGCAATTTGCCATTTGTATGCCTCTAACAAAGACATGTTCTCGTGAAGCTAACTTTCTGTAATACTCAACCATGCTAGCAATTTTAAATCTTCGTAACTAGCTGGTTGCTGGTGTCTGATCTTTATTTTCGGACACGAATATAAGGCGGGTTAGTCTCTTGATAAAACAGGAACGCTACAGTGTGCTTCCTTTCAACATTTCGTTTCGTAACTTAAAATTACGCCACGTATACTACAGTTCACGAGACCAGGACTATTGGATTGTTTACCAAAATATCTTTTACAATTAAGAATTAGACAAGAGGCATCGGCACCTTTCCATCCAAATTTTCACCGCACCTTTTAGTCAGAGTTGTGGGGGTCAGGAGGCGAGTCTAGAGTACAGCATGGGCGGGATGATTACATATACACACCCACCATCGTGCGCTATTCTACATTTAGACATGCAAGTGCAGGAGGAACACGCATATGATTTGAGAGGTCAGGCAAACTTCATACACACCCACCCACAATGAGACAACAGTGCTAACCAGAGATACTGTGCCACCTCTGAACATTTTATTATGTCCAAATGTTATTGACAAACCACATATTTATGTTTGACTGAACATTTGAACCGTTATCCACGCAGCCCATAATGAGAGGAATAATGATGAAAGCAGAGAAGCAGCTACTGAAGTTACAGTAAATGTGTCTCTGTAGAACATCTATGTTCATCAGCCATTTTTGTGTTCTTGTCCAATAAGTTTTGAAGTGAAATGACTGTTCATATACCTGATATAGTGATGTACGTCTGAACAGTGAAGGACTGTAGTTGAAAGGGAGAGAAATATTCTCTGTCCCTTTCTGCCTGACTGGGAGCAGTGCTCCAGCAATCTCCATGCCACTGATAGTAAGCACCCCCCTCCGTCTCGACCCCCCCCCAGGCAGCGCGCTGTGCCCAGACTGCGGCAGCTCCGGCAGCACAGCCCCGAATAAAGAAGTTTCAGATATACCGCTGGGACCCGGACACGGCGGGGGACAAACCGCGCATGCAGACCTTTGAGTTGGACCTCAACATGTAAGCGGGTTGGGGGACTGTGTGTAGCACTGGGCCGTGTGCGGCTCTTTGGGTTAGAAGACTCCTGTGTGCCTGTGATTTGAAGGTCATTGGGTCAAATCCGGTGACTGCCAGAGTGATTTTGCTGTTGGGCCCCTGAGCGAGGCCCCTAATCCTACTTGCTCCAGGGACTGGCTGATCCTGCTGTCTCATTTCTGCATTGCTTTGGAGGAAAGGGTCTGCTAGATAAATAAATGTAAATGCAGTGATACCATGATGCAGATGGAAAACAGCGTCTGATTATGCAAGGAAAAAAAAATAAAACTTTATTCTGATATCACTAATGTCCTTGCTGGACTAGAACCACAACGGAACCAAGAGTTGAGTTTCTTTTTGGGGTATGAATAGAATTGAAATCCCCCTGTCCATTGTTGGTGTCGTCCCTTTGAACAGACCTGGTATCTATCTCACAGTATCTTAATCATGCTACCCAATTAAAGCAACGCAGATGGTGACATGTAGAAATGGTGCATTTTGAGGGGACGCTACAGACTGAATAAATACAATGTGCAGCAGTGACACTGTGATTTTATTGTACTTTTGAATTAAGCAATGGATTGTAAACCAAAGTAGAATCCAAACTGAGAAAGAATGTCATGAAGTAAGGTATATTATACCCAGTTTGTTTGCCATGAACTAATTATAATTATTATAATAAATAGCATTTACATTAATTTTACAAGTTCAGATCCCACCAAAACAGTCTGAACATACAGTATATTATTTGCATGGTGCCGTCATATTGTGAGAGAATGAGCTGTTGATTTACTTGCATTGTCTCTGCATGTAACTCACTGCTTTTATAGTTTTTCAGCAATTGTTTTATGTTCCTTTTAGTATTTATGTCAGTGATTACGAAACGGTGACCGCCATGTTTGCACGTGTTTTCCACCTGAACTCATTTAGGTTTGTCACTGTCCATTTAATCTAAAACTGCCCCTAATGTGTGAGCATCTGCACACCCATGATTCAGTTAAATTCAATGTATTTTTATATAGCAGCTTTCAGAACAGTGTCGCCCCAAGGCGCCTTACAGGGGTGTGTTGTGATGAGTTACAATGTCACTAAGACATAGACAGTCACTATGTCACTAGGACTAAATAATAGAAAAACAGGGAAAGATGAAGGAAGGAAAAAGAAAGACATGACAACGGAGGAGAGGAAGCAGAAAAAAAAAGAAACCCTCAGTGGGTCCCAAGGTCACCTGGCTGTCCAACATGGGCATGTTAACATCATTGAAGAGGGAGGGGCCTCCACCGGAGGAGGGGCCTCCTGGCTTCCACCGGCCCTGCCCTGGACAAGCCCTTAAAGGAGGATCTATGTAGCTGAAACCATATAGTATGTTAAGATAACGGATGATCTGGTGTCACAAAGCTGGCTCTGTGTAGATACACTAGATAACTGCCCTTCCAACTGAACCTTCTGATCTCCTGCTCCAATCCTGCCCCTGGTCAATCAGTGACCATATTTTAATTCGCAAGTTTGCTAGCTGACTGAATTCTCTGCTCTCCCTTTTTCCAATGGTTTTTGGACAGCCTGTACCCCACAGACATGAGTGTAATCTCAGCATACCTGTTCTAAGGTTGTTGTACTTTGTACTGGCCATTATCAGATTAGAATTTGTGGTCTGCTTGATCTGGGTGTGTTATTGTTTGTATGAGTTTTTCAGTGAAATGGTTGTGCTCAGAGAGCGAGTGTTTGAAGAGTGATTGTTACTTTGAGAGAATGGGAGTGGCCTACACAAATAGGGAGTCTGATTGGGTCTTCTGAGTGAACTCAGTTTTAATCGATTAAGTAATCACCCCCCCTTAGGTGTGGACCAATGGTGCTGGATGCCCTGATCAAGATCAAGAATGAGATGGACTCCACACTCACTTTCCGACGCTCTTGCCGAGAGGGTGAGCAGAGACCTAGAGGGTCATGGGGTTTGGTGGTATAAACTTCTGCCACATAGTTGCCTGGTGACAAGGGGGGGGGGGGCAAGGCCCTCAACCCCCAGTTCTATGGGCACCACTGCAGGTGCCAAGCTTCCTCTCACCTACTGTGTGTCATGGAAAGCAGGACGGGGTAGAAGAGAAGAGGATTTTCCCACATGGATCCGTGTTGTCATTTCCTGTGTGGCGCTCATTTTCTGTGCTGTTATTGGTTATGGGTTTGATTCCCACCTATACCTGTCTGCATGGATCCACACCACAGCCGTGCGCCGGATAAGCGGCTGGGAGGATGCATAGATTGTCCCCGTCCCGCCCTACGCAGACATCACAGTCCCTAACAGACTCTGTCTGGATAATCAATTATCGATTAGTCATAAGTGGACGGTCAAGTTCTATTGTGAAGTAATGAGGTTAATTTAAAACTGATATTATTCACAGACATTGAGAGCTTAAGATTTGCGTGCATTTATGTCACATTAAATATTTGCTTAGCTTGTACTGCATGCAGTGTTTCTCTGAAGAATCATGTCTATTTGAGTGCGTTTGTGTGTCCTGCTGTTGCGGCAGTGATTTTAGCCCCAGCTGGCCAGGTCGAGTGCAGTAGCTGTGGTAACAGCTGACTGGGTCGAGCGCAGTACCTGTGGTAAGTGGACCGCCGGCAGCCCAGCACCACTGACAGCGTGTGTGTGTCTCTGACAGGGATCTGTGGCTCTTGTGCGATGAACATCAACGGCGGGAACACGCTGGCCTGCCTCAACAAGATCGACACCGACACCAGCAAGGTCACTAAGATCTACCCCCTCCCGCACATGTACGTCGTCAAGGACCTGGTTCCGGTAAGCATCTTCTCCGGCAGGAATAAAGCGACTGGGAGTTTTCCACAAAGCAGGATTTCTTAATGGGTTAACTTAAGCTAGAAATCATGATTGTCCAATAGGAATGCTCCTTACCTAAACTCTTACCGGATGATCATTACTTCTAGTTTAAGCTATCCCAGCTAACTGAGAAATCCTTTGTGAAACACCCCCAGGATTCTGATAGGTTCTTGCAGTGATTTTAGTGTATTTTCTGTCTTGTTGCTTATTGTTTATCTATTGTCTTACTTTTCGTATATTTTAGCACTTTGAAATTGTTTTAATGGACAGTGCTTATAAAATTAAATGTAGTGTTTATTATTATTATTTTATTATTAATAAAGGAGCACTGGGTCGGAGCCTTTTGCTCCTGCCTTTGTGAGTCGTTCTCTTACTGGGATCACTCTGTTCCAGGACATGAGTAACTTCTATGCCCAGTACAAGTCCATCGAGCCGTACCTGAAGAAGAAGGACGAATCTCAGCAGGGCAAGAAGCAGTACCTGCAGACTGTGGAGGACCGGCAGAAACTGGTACCTGGACTCTGCGACATTGCTCAAAAAACCACTTCCTAGAAATTGTATCCTGCACAGAATGTGAAGACTGACTTTTTAGCAACACTGTGATGGCAGAAATGCTCAAGCAGCAGCTAGGCTGCAGGTTCAGCTGGTGTAATATTTCTATGCGTGTCTGCATTTTCTTCCCCCAGGATGGCCTGTATGAGTGCATCCTATGTGCTTGCTGCAGCACCAGTTGCCCCAGCTACTGGTGGAACGGAGACAAGTACCTGGGCCCGGCCGTACTCATGCAGGTGAGTGTGCTGGCATGAGCTCGCTCGTGTGCACGTGCTGTGATTTTAGGCCCATGCCGTTAACCGAAGCATCCATCCAAGGCGTACCGCTGGATGATCGATTCACGAGATGACTTCACAGAAGAGCGCCTGTCCAAGCTGCAGGACCCCTTCTCCCTGTACCGCTGTCACACTATCCTGAACTGCACCAAGACCTGCCCCAAGGTGCAGTCCGCCGGCTAAACACTAAGCTGCTGCCACCACACTAAATGCTAAGCTACCACCATGCTAAACTCTAAGCTACCGCCATGCTAAACTCTAAGCTACCGCCGTGCTAAACTCTAAGCTACCGCCGTGCTAAACTCTAAGCTACCGCCGTGCTAAACGCTAAGCTACCGCCATGCTAAACGCTAAGCTACCACCATGCTAAACGCTAAGCTACCACCATGCTAAACGCTAAGCTAACGCCATGCTAAACGCTAAGCTACCACCATGCTAAACGCTAAGCTACCGCTAAGCCACTGCTGCACTGAACGCTAAGTTACTGCCGCATATCCGTCAGTATCCTCCATAACTAGAGCCAATCACAAGTAGCCATAGAAAGGGCATCTTTTTTTTCTCTAAGGGCCTCAACCATCGTTTGAGATGTTTGTATTCCTCTCTAGAACTATAAATTCTTTTTTCCCCCAAAGATTCAAACAATTAACTGTCACATGTGCGTGTCTACGCTAGGGGTGGGCAGTCTTATCCAGAAAGGGTCGTTGTGTGTGGAGGTGTTTGCTGCAACTCCCTAATTAGATTACTAATTGGAGGACTGATTGGCTGAAGAGTCCTCACACCTGGGTTTGAACAGCTGACCTACAGGTTATCCCAAAAACCTGCATACGCACCGGCCCTTTGTGGGTAAGACTGGCCACCCCTGGTCTACACCTTGAAATTCTTAGTGTGCCCCACTCTTCCATATGCTGGAGGGAAAAAAAACACAAAAACAGAAAAACAATACAGCAGATAAGGAGATATAAAATATACATATCCGCAGATAAAAACATTAAATGTGAATGAATATGAATATCAATACGGAATGTACATTGTCTGGCCAAAAAAAAAAGTCACCATTTGAATTTAAATTGGCAAGTACTTAAGAACGAACTATTGGATCATTATTACAGCTCAGCAACATTACGCAGTAATAAAGTGAAGTCAGCTGAGCACCTGAATCTACTGAATGGGCAGGTTAACCCATCAATGGATTTTTCCTTTCCAAACGGCACGGACATATTCCAGGACGATAACGCCAAGATTCATCGGGCTGGAATTGTCAGAGTGGTTCAGGGAGCATGAGGAATCATTATCACACATGAACTGGCCACCACAGAGTCTTGACCTTAACCCCATAGAAAGTCTTTGCGATGTGCTGAAGAAGACTTTACGGAGTGGTTCAACTCGCCTATCATCAATAAAAGATCTCGAGGAGAAATGAATGCAAATCTGGATGAAAAAAAGTCTAGATGTTTCACGTGGAAACAATGCATTGACGAATGTGCACTATAATCACAGCTCAATGTGATCCAAAGCTTTTCTTTTGGCCAGGCAGTATAATTTCTGAAACAAGTGGGTGAGGCTGTATTTAACACTTGACCTGTCCCCCCCCTTCCCTCCCCCCCAATTTCCTATCAGGGCTTAAACCCAGCCAAGGCAATAGCCGAGATCAAGAAGATGATGGCTACATACAAAGAGCGTGGGGCTATGGCGTGAGGCAGCCTGCTGACGTGGCACATCCTCCCGACCCCTGCCACCCGGGAATAAATGTGCATTATTAATTTATGGTTGACGACGTACTGGTTCCGCACAGCTGTCTTCATGTACACTCCAATAGAAGGTCTGCTCGGGCATGTGGGGGGGGGCCTCTGGCTCCGTGTGTATTGGGATCATGAAGGTTTCATGTTTAACCACATAAATTTGCTGCAGACGTGTCACTGCTGACTGTCATCCTATATGCGTTGGAACGCAGCTTCACATTAAGTTAAGGGTGTGTACAGCCATGTTTAAAAAAATGACTCGTCCATCTCATTCACAGCAAACATTGCAATAAAAAGAACTAAACTTTATGGGTATGTCGGCTGATTCATTCATACTTTACAAATGTATTTCATTTAGTTGAATTATCAAATAGCTCACTTCACGTCTTCAAAAAATGTTCCTTCCCCTTTAAACAGTGCTGGTCCCTCTTTTATAGGTGTCACATTTCTTTGGATGCTGATGCGATCAATATATTCAGTTTATCTTTTGCGCATTTTAATCTGCCACAGTGTCTTTGTCATTATTGTGCTAAACGGTATGCAAACTTTGTTTGATACCTTTTATTTGTTTCATAACAAGAAGCATGTGAATGTTTTTGTGGGCTGCAATCCAACACTTGTTTTGTATGGAGTGTGTTTTCAGTGCCATGCGTGTGCAAACGGGATTCGAGATTAATGGATGGAATACTATTGCAGTTCTCACGTCGGCCACATGGGTTCAGTAGAGGAAGGGCTTGTAGTTCTTTGGGTGAAGCCTGAGATTGTCATTGTTGCTACTCTGTGGGGGGCAGTATGTGCATGAGAGAGGAGGACAGCGAAGGTGCATTTTGTAAGGGGATCTGCACTCCTGCCTGCTGTGAGTAGGCAGTAAGTCCCATGACTTTACATTGCATCTCATCTTTGCACTGCTGCTTCTGTTGAGGGTCATGGGGGCACCATGCTGATCAGACTACGCCTCTCTTCCCTCAGCCACAGACTGTTGCTTGTTCTGGGGAGTGCTCCGATGTCCCCAATCCTGCTGGTAGATGTAATTCCTCCAGTGTGACCTGCATCTGCCCAGTATGTCTGACTGGAATGGCTTCCTTTGAACCATCTTAATGGCACTTACAGCACAGCCCTGGTGCCCTATATTCCTGCGTCCACTCCCACAGGTCATGCTCATGTAGGCTGTGTTAGCGCGTTCCCAGGAACAGCTGTGACGACCAAGGCTGGCATCCGCACTGCTCCTAAATCTGAGGTCTAACCACCAAACAAAGTCTTTACTCCAGTGCCCCGATATTGCAGGGGAGGCTGAGAAGTGTGACTCTCCTATAGTGTCAAGGTCTAGAGTTTTTATTGTCACTTCTCTGGGGAGGGGATGGGTGCATGGGGGGGGGAGACAATAGGATCAGCAACAAAACAGCAGTGCAGTGAAGCACAAAACAGCAGTGCAGTAAAGGACAAAACAGCAGTGCAGTGGAGCACAAAACAGCAGTGCAGTAAAAGACGAAGCAGTGTAACACAAAAGACAGTACAGGAATTTGTCATTATGGAAAGACAGAGTAAGAGAAAGAAAGCGAGAAGACTATGGATGACTGGAACCAAAACTCCCAAATGGGGAGCAAAAAAAACCTCTGGGGGTCCAAGGTTAACTGGCTGCCCCCACCCCTCCCCCCCGGGCATTCTGACAATATAGAGAACAGAAAGAAATAGGCCTGCTTTAGTAAATGCAGTGAAAACACACCCTCTGTTCCCTGCTTTCCACCTTTCTGTTCTCCTATCCAGAGGTACGTTACCCGCCACCCAGACAATGTTGGCGAGAAACATCGGCCACATCACGTCAACAGCACCCAATGCTTTCAAACTCTCATGACCAGTTAATTCTACCCGTGCAGCCTTTCCACAACAGAGACCTCCAACCACCACAGCAACTTCAGCCGCATCAGACTCTGATCGACCCGAAGTTTCTTACAGTACCTCCCAGGCATGAAGTGGGACTAATTATCAGCCTGGGAGTTTTATTTTTGTGCCCAATACCAGCCCATTTTGTCTTTATTCTGGGGGAAATTTGATCAATAATGCCACAGTCTTATTATCCCAATAACTTCATTACTAACGTTTCAAGAAGGAAATTAATAAACAGCGTATTGAATTGCTCAATCGGTCTGACTTTATCAGCCCCGCCTGGTCCTTTTCTAACATCCATTGTTTGACAGACTTCCAGCGATTAGCGATAGTGAGCGATCACACTGACGCGTGTGCGTGTATTTGCACGTTTCTCTGTGCAGAGCAATCGTGGTCCAGTGAACGTATGTGTATGTGTGGTTAACATTCTGAAACACTGTTCTAGATTTTCAAAGTTGTAAAATTATTTTGTTTCTGACTGGCTCAATTTTAAACCAGTCAGATTATTTTGTTTCTGACCCACAGAGCAGCGGGATTCTCCCGATTGGCCACCCTGGACCAGGTACCTCCCAATGAGAGGACATTTCCATTGAGTTAACATGTTTCTCTGTGTTCCTTCCGCCACCCAACCATATCCCTACTGAACGCAGACTAAGCAGCGAACCCCCTCGTCCTACTGGAATAAGGTACCAAGCAGGAAATTAATTACTCCATCAAAATATCCCCCTTTAGAAACATATATTTTTTTATTAGCGGATTACCGTTTCCGCTGACTTTTGAAAACAGTGAGCGGACCAATTAGCTTCCACTAAATGTTTCCACCAAACATTTTTTGCTGGCACTTTGGTCAATAACTTATCAGATTTAAGGTAGTCTGGGCTAAATGTAAGGGAACGGAGATAAAGTCCATTTAAAGTGGGGCACCCAGAACTGAGCAGAGAACAGGGGGGTGCATCATAAAGCTGAATTTCCCTCCTCTATCCCTCTCCCCTTCTTCCTCTCTCCCTCTCTCCCCTCTCTCTCCCCCTCTCCCTCTTCCCCTCCCCTCTCTCTCCCTCTTCTCTCCTTCTCCCCTCTCTCTCCCCCTCTCCCTCTTCCCCTCCCCTCTCTCTCTCCCTCTTCTCTCCTTCTCCCCTCTCTCTCCCCCTCTCCCTCTTCCCCTCCCCTCTCTCTCTCCCTCTTCTCTCCTTCTCCCCTCCCTCTCTCCCCCTCTCCCTCTTTCCCTCCTCTCTCTCCCTCTCCCTCTCCCGCTTTACTCCTTGACAACATACCCAGTGCTTATGTTCACGCAAATCAATGACAGGTCCTGCAGCGTGCATGCAGAGCCATCGACATCAGACAACATTTTGAGTACTGTGACCTGCGGATTGATGCTGTTTGTATTACAGTTAGCTGGATAATAGACGTAACATTAAATAAGCAATCTCTCTGAATCAGTGCAGATGTGTTTCCGTTTGTGCTAGCCGGACATGAACGTACCTGTTTCCATACTGAATACACTTTGTGTACAAAGAAAATGCAGACAAACAGGGACGGAGACAGGAGGAGATGGATATCGAGTGGCACAGTGAAGGCACTGTGAAAGCTTCATGAGGGAACATGCCAGAAAGCCTTCCCAGAAGAATACAGGCTATTATAGGAACTAAGGGTTAGCCAACTTCATATGAATATCCTTTGATTCAGAGGGAGATGGCGGACAGGCTGGGGTCTCAATACTTCTGTTCATATAGTGTATCGCTATCGTAGCCAGTTATAGATTGTACAAAGCAGTGTGAAAAGGTCGACTTAATGCATTTCATTGCAGGGGGGGAAGGGGGAGCAGTGAAAGCGCAGCTCTGTAGAAGCAGACAGTGGGAGCACAACTGCACAACTGCACAACTGGTCATGCTGTGGTTTGTTCAGTTGATTCCGATTCAGATTCAAACTCAGATTACTTTATTTATCCGCAAGAGGAAACTGAGGAAACAGTAGCCATGTACATAAATGATAAGAATACACAGACACGAGGAAGGTGTAAGCGTAGCCATAAAACCAAATTAATAAATTACCAGAGGTGGAAATTTCAGGTCCAGAGTGTACAAACTCAGACCAAGATTTTGTTTCAACCAACCAGTTGAGTACTCTGTGACTGTGACTCTGTATACTCAATTGGTTGGTTGAAACAAAATCTTGGTCTGGATTTGCACTCTCTGGACCTGAAATCTCCACTTCTGCAAATTACAAAACTATGTATGTATGAATATACAAAAACTACCAGATTAAAAAAAAAAAAAAAAAAACTTTACAACTTAGATATACATTTAGTGTGCAAAATAAATGTAAGTGTGCATTGTGTGTTGCCTCAGAGCAGGAGAATCCTCTTCTGGCAGAGAGGAGTCATTATACATGGTTACTGCCATGGGCAGGAGGCCAGTAGGTTGTGGTGTGGGTGTGTAGTATTGTCCATAATGTTGGGCAGCTTGTGCAAAATCCTTCTCTCCACAATCTTCTCCCCAGAGCCGGCCCTCTTAGTCAGTCTCCCCTGACCTGTCCCCAGCACAGAGCCGGCCTTCTTTATCAGTTTGTTGATGACGACGACGATGATAATCATCATCATTATTTGGTTTCAGTGGTAGTGCAGTCCTGCACATATGTTAGGTAATCTATCCACCTTTTTTAATGGCGCGTAAGGTTGTGCCCTTTTGTTTAACCACTACACCACCGACTACGCCTGCTCCCACCTGGGCGATGCAGGAGGTACTGTGAGGTTCATGTTTTCGTCATCTTCTGCAGTGCCTGCATTATCAGTGTTGGGGAAGTTACTCACAAAAGTAATCCATTACAGACGGAGGTGGGACGTCCAGAAAGTACAAATCCAGACCAAGGTTTTGTTTCAACCAACCAGGTGAGTATTCTGTGACAGTGACTCGTAATATTCAAGTGATTGGTTGAAACAAAACCTTGGTCTGGATTTGTACTTTCTGGACCTGAAATATCCACCTGTCTTTAATGAATTACTTTCGTGAGTAACTTCCCAACTCTGTTCATTACCATCCAGCCAGTCCTGCTGGAGAGCAAGCTGTCGGCTGCGCAGGCGGGAGCCCCTGTGTTGCCATGGATTATGGACCACCTGCCCAGCCGTCCACAGTATGTTCGTCCAGGAGATTGTCCAGGACTACAAGTACCTGGGTGTCCACCTAGACAGCAAACTGGGCTGGTCTAAGAACTATACTGCCCTCTACAGGAATGGAATGGCCAGTGCAGGTTGTCCATTTTTTAATATTCCCTCCACCCCCACCCACCCCTTTACCCTGTTATTATACCCAACCAAAACACAAAGAGGCAGACAGCCATGGAAGAACAACATTGTGACCAACCATAGTGATAGATAGACACTGACAGACACAGACTGACCGACAGACACAGACAGACATAATAGAACATGAGTAAAATAAAAAAGGGAGGACTTTATACACTTGTAAACCCACGCACCCCCCTACCTTATCATTATACTAATACCTATAATAATACCTACTAAGACATCTGACTGGTTGGTCCCGCCTCCTCTGGTTGCTTGGACCCACCTCCTCTACAATCTGATTGGTTATCTTTCTCAGGCAATCATTTTTCCTTCTGCCCCCAGAACATTTTTCTGTAAGTACAGCTCCCATGAGCTTTGCACTCAGGAGCAAGTTCCTCTGGGATAATAAAAGTGTCCAGAAACTTTGCTTTGAGTTGCTTAAAGTTTTATAGTACAGGAGTCCTCCAGTAAAAAGAAACTGGACATTCTGGAGCTGAAACCAGTAATGGACCACAGCTTGGGCTTACCAGTCTTAAAGCTAAAATCCCAATCCGACATCCAGGTTGTTTACTTACCAATAGCATCAGTAGTGTGTTAAATGGTTTAATTGGTCCATATACAATTTGACTTAGTTATAGTCCACAATCACCTGAATATTGATTTCTATTCGTTTGTTTGAATAATTTCAACTGTATCAGAAACCACACTTGTAGTTGGGGATGTTGTACATTATGCGTTGCATAGCTTTTGTGCTATCTAACCAAATTCAGGTTTTTTGAACTCGTATACTGTCCACTGAATTTGCTGTCTTCTGTCTTCAATGTGACGACGCTGGGAGAGTGTGGGTCGGCGCTTGGACCCGCTGGAGTGTGGGAAGATGGTGTGGTAGGGAGGAGTGTGCAGGGGGGAGATTGGGGCATAGGAGGCGGGGTGGTAGAGTGTGGCGATCAGGGAGACCGCGCTTCAGACGGACGCAGAGACCGGAGGAGCGACGGAACGAACTCCAAAGAAAGAGAGAGAGTGAGAGAGCGGTAAGCACGGGAAGTGGATTCCGGCTATGCAGGGAAAACGATTAAAATCCGGCGTGTTGAGTTTTACTCAATGTTTTGCAAGACTGAATATAAACGTTAAGTTCCTGTTAGATTACTACTTTACTTCAATTAGTGTATTACTTAAACTGAAACTAATGCTGCGTGAAACTTTGCTTTTGGTACAAAACGGCTTTAGTTATTGTATTAATTAAATTAAGTAAAGTGCAAAACACAGTTTGGATGTTTGAAGTTACACAAACATATTTGATATTGCACCAAGCCTGCGATATATGCAAAACCAGGTGTCTCGGTTATGAAGCTGTCTAATCGAACAGCTTTTTTTCTGATTTGGTCGAAACAATCTATTGATTGAATGAACTATTTTCTGTTCGAAAAATCGAAGCGGACTTGATTGTCTCATAATTCGTCTAGAAAATAGAGTTTTCAGTACATGCAGTCAGTGGGTGTCTTTTCAAGTGTGTGTTTACAATGTAATAAAGTGCGCGGGGGGTGTGCGGGGCGCTCTGGGAGGTGGGGTTATCTCCCGGGGCGAATGCGATACAATGCACAGGACATGGCCAACACTAATAAACTGCGAGAGAGAGGATGGTGGAAGTATGGAGGGCAGGAAGGTGGAAGGCAGGAGCGGGGGGGGGGGGGGGGGGGGGGGGCGAGCGTTCGGCAGAGTGTCACACTGCAAAGCAAATATGAAACAATTGTTTCATATAAAAGAGTGAGAAATGAAGGGAAAAGGATTTCCCTCGTCTTGGGGACTTTGTTCCGAAGTACCCGGGCGGTGGGGGAGGGGGTGAGAGAGACGCAAGAAAGGGGGAGAGGGGGGTGTAATAGTTCCCAGATGTGTGCAGTGAAAACATATGGTTTCCGATCGCCACTGTGATGCACACGAGGAATGTCTGGACGCGCGCACGAGCGCGCGCTCTCGAGACACACGTTCGGCGCACGTGCTGAGACCCCCGCAAATCCCCAGTGAAGCCCAAGAAAAACCTGCAACTTATCCGCAGACAGACCCCCACCTCCACAGGACGGGGCCCAGGATGACGTCATTTCGGGATGGACGAAGTCTAACCTCACTTCATTACTCCAAGACTTACTGCCTGTATGGCACCAGTTCTAACTTTAGGGCTCTTTCTAAATGGGGCGCAAATAGTGAGTTCGAGATAAATCTTCGACTGTCATTGCGTTATAACCTTAAAATTGTCTATATTACTACGAACCTACAGCGCCTTTGCAATTAATTATCGATATTTGTTAATGAATTTGCTTGTGGCAGGTTTCCAGCCGGTGTTGATATGTAAGATTAAGGTGAAGTGGCCGATGAAGTGGGCAGCTTTATTTAATCTGCGAATACCGGTGTGGGGCAGGGTACGGACGTGAAAGGCAGACCTTCGAGACAAGGAGCTCGCCCCGTTTCCATTACCTGCGGAGATGGAGGGGAAACTGAAAATGAATTGAGATGCAATAGGAGGAAGAAATGTCCATATCTAATAGCAAACGAACACATAAAAAATAAAGGTATATGTTGCTTTTGCGCATAAGATGCGAGGCAGTGTGAAGAAAATATAAGATATTTTGCCACTTGCAAATGACCATCTGACTCAGCCTTTTTTTTTTGGTGAGGGGTGGGGGGTCGTCCGCTGAGAGAGGGAGGGGGAGCTCAGTGATTCTCGTCTTGGAATGTTGCCTTGGGTCTCTGTGTGTTTTTGCATTTAGCGGTGGAGGGGGGGAAGAAAGGAAAAGGAGGGATTGTTAGAGAAGACAGACTTACCACATTCTTGCTGTCAGAAATGAACTTTTTTGGGGTAACTGCTGGGCGCCAGGAGAAAAAGGAAAGAAAAAAGCAGATGGAAAGGAGAGGGAGGGAGTTAAATTAAAATAAAATGGAAGGCTGGGGGGCTGAGCTGCTGAAGCTGCACTCGTCCTTTTTCCTGCTTTTAGTGGGACGCGTCAGTGCCTGTGGTTTTCGTAAATGATCCCTCTCTCCCTCTCTCCCTCACTCCTCTTGATAACACAGTACCAGATTCTGTCTACCTCCACGACCTGAGCGACCATGTGGACCAGCTGCCTGCTGCTTTTCATGCCCGGTGAGTCAAGGGCCCGCAGACTCGCGCTGAAGCCCCCCCACTGCCTCACACAACAACAGGCATTTTATCATTATTATTCGTCATTACAGTCACTGCTGCTCATCTGTTCATCTTCCGACTGCTTATTCAGTATGTGGTCAGGAGACACCTATCCCAACCAGCACAGGGCACCGGGACCTGGAGTGCCAGTCCCTCACAGGGCACGCGCTGGCAATTTAGAGATATGCCGTGGGACTGTGGGAGAAAACCAGCATGTCCCTATTTACCATGGGGAGAGCATGCAAACTCCACACACAATTTTTAGTTGGGTTTGGGTTAGGGTTAGGTTTAGGGTTAGGTTAGGTTAGGGTTAGGTTAGGTCTGCTTTATTCTCCCCTAAGGGGCAACTGGGTTTGCAGGCAGCAGTCAACGCAACCAACACATATTGTAGTAAGATATATAAAAAAAAAAATATTTGGGGGGAAAAAAACACAATACAGTACATAGCATCTTATTGCAATTGCTATTTAGTGCTATATGATGACTAAAATTCTGTCAGAATGTATATAGACCCTGCCAAAATGCCACAGCTTGTTTAAAAACCTTCTCAGTTAAATCGTTGTGCTCTCTGTCATCTAGTCCTCTTTGGGGTCTTTAATGGGAGTGTCACTCCCAGCATTATCTGAGTAACACCACCCACTGCACCAGCCCTTTGGTCACTATGGTTACGGTGATGGAATACGTCACCCGCGGATCCGTGATTGATGTCACTTGCCAGCTCTTGCTAACAGCTAACCGGCTCCCACAGGCCTCCTGTTTGCCCAGCAACAAGAATCAGCCGAAGATTTTTACACCGGTCAGTACTTCCGTCTGGGTAAGCTCGCTCTCGGCTTGCAGGCCTCTGCGCACCTGATTTTGTGACCGCTCTCCCCCCCCAACCCCCGCCCGCCCGTTTTCTACGCTGCGGCTGTTCCAGCTTCTCACCAGTAAGTCAGTGTCTGCACACTTCTTCCTGGCATGAGCTTTTTAATCCTATCCAATAAAAACGAACCATCCATTTACCCAATGGCATAGGAGAGAGTTTGCCACTGGGA